CCCTCCCCGCACGCACTGGGAGAAGGCTGCGCGGGACGGAGGTGCGCTCATCCAGCGAGCGCCTCCGGGCGGAGTTGCACCGAGGGCTACCGCTTGGTAGCCTCGGGGTCTCACACTTCCTCTACACTGGGGCGTAGTTCGCTTGCACGCTTTTGGTGGTGCTTGCGGGGCGGCTCTCCGTCGGGGCCCCGCCAGACTGGGGCGGGGCTCCGGGCTCGCTCCGCCCGGGCTGCTTCTGCGTCTTCCCCGGCCCCAGCCTCCGCATTCTGGTTACAGCGGCCGGAGCTGAGGCGAGCGGAGCCATCAGGCACGTAGGACCCGGCGGGGAGGGAGAGGTGCATGGTATGCCGGAGCTGCGGGTTTGGGGTGGGGTCTTGGCTGCAGGTCACCCACCCGGAACTAGGGGCTGTGTCGCAGGCCATCCTGTGGTACCTTGGAGGGGAGCACCTTACAGCGCGCTGAAGATTGCGGAACTGCACAAGCAGTGTCGGGGGTATAGATAGGGAAGATTGCTGCCCCGGGCTTGGGGCTGGAGCAGAGGCGGTCCCCGGAGGCCAAGGGACCCTGGGGACGGGGCGCCTCCTACTAGATACCCGCTCTCTCCTCCCTAGCTCTTGGCTTGATGGAGGAGGCACAGAGTCCACATTGTGCCCACAACACCCCACCCTCGCCGAGACAGAGCCCCATTCACCTCTTGCACGCCAGCGCCCTTGGGGCTTGTGCACGCGTGGGTATGCATGTGCACTGACTGCCCCTGGAAGGAGCAGGGTGGGCTGCTGGAGCAGCGGCTTGGTTTCTTCCTCAGCTTTGCCGCAGCCTCGCTCCCGCGGCCCACGCTGCTGCGGCTCCAGCTATTTATAGGCCTTCTCTGCAGAGATTGAGGTGGGACTGTACCGGGATGGAGGTGGGGTGGGGTGGCGGGGAGACCTACAGATGGAGACTGCTTGGAGGTAGAGTGCCAGCATCCAGGGTGTGGGCGTGCAGATGGGGGGTTCTTCCTGAAAACAGGAAAGTAGGGGGCCGAGCTAGTGCTTGTGGATGGCCTCCCTTGCTTGCTGACTGGAAGAATTGAGGGCAGGGAATTCAGGGTTGGGATGCAAATCGTGGAAGCCAGTGGGGAGGTGGGTTTGGTGTCAGTGCCCTAGCGAAAGTAAATCCCCTGTATCTCCCACTTGGCCACTTGACAGGGAGGGTGGAACTGGTGTCCTGTGATGGGGTGGTTATTGAGGTGGTAAGTGGTTGAGTGAAGGGAGTGGCAGTCAGTGTGTGGAGTGGTGAGGGTGATCAGTTTCGTGGTGTTACACTGGAGGGCATGAGGTCAGTGTTTGAAGAGTGTCACTGTGCTGGTATCTAGGAGAAGGCTGGATGTGGAGGTGGGGAGAAATTGTCAACATCTAGGAGGGGCATGGTGTCATTGTCTGGGTTAATGTGGTCAGTGTATAAGTTGAAGAGGTGGTAGGTAGGTCAGTTTGCAGTATATGTTTCTCAGCAGCAGAAGTATGACCTTCCCACTCTCCTTCCAGGAGGCCATGTCAGGAGAGGACTCAGAAGTTCGAGCAGTGGCTGAGGGTGGCTCCAATGGAGGCAGTGGCTCCCCCAGCCCTGGGGACACACTACCTTGGAACCTTGGGAAAACTCAGCGGAGCCGGCGTAGTGGAGGTGGCTCTGGAGGCAATGGGAGTGTCTTGGACCCTGCTGAGCGGGCTGTCATTCGAATCGCAGGTAATGTGGAATGGCCTGGTCAGCTTGGCCCATTAGCACAGAACTGTTGTTTGACATCCTGCTGTGTGCTATGCGCCAGTGTTTGTTCTAGAAGTGGTCAGAGGGGATATGGGGTTCAGGTAGAGCCTCTCTGGTCCCAGGTGAGTGCAGTCAGCACAGCGCCACCTGCTGTTCTGGCCCAGGAAGCTGTGAGAGGTCAGAAGCCTGGCTTTTTGCTCAGCTCTGGGGCCATCCCTGGCTTTCTGACAAGAGTCCAGTGCTCTTGATATGATAGAGACCATTGCCTGGGCCCCTGGGTCCAAAGTGCTCACCAGGCTTCTAGTCTTTTTTTTGTTGTTGTTAGACTGGGGATTGAACTTGAGACCTTGTGCTCTTGTGAGGCAGGTGGTGACACCACTGAGCTAAATCCCCAACCCCAGGGTCCTAATCTTGAGTGCCACATGGGGATAGATGTGCACAGGAGCAGGGCAGGAGAGGACATTTGGCCAGTGAGAGTACCACTGTCCCTGAGCCAGGGTCTAGACTTGTCCTACATTAGCTGCCAGTCTGAGGAAGAGGATGGGAAAGATCCAGTGAGAGGATTAGAGGGAGATGATGGGCAGCTGGAGGATGTTTAGTTGGGCAGCCAGTTCCTTTGGGAAGTAGGTTACCTAGGGCTGGAGGTCATTGGGCAGGATGTGCTGAGTAAGTGAGTACTGACCGCATTCCGTCTTCTAGGACTCCCAGGGGCATGATGAGGCAACTGGAGGGCAGAGAGCATTCCTGCAGGAAGCAAGGATGGTGGACCAAGGCATGTGGGGAGAGGCTTAGAGGCCACCTTCCCAAAGGGGAGGTAGTCCTGCAGGCATCAGGGAACTTTGTCATTGGGAAAGTACAGCAACACCTCGTGAAAACAGAAGCAGAGAAGAATGATGGACATGCTCTCACCACTCTGCCAAACCCCAGAGGCCCAGGTGCTTGTGGGTGATCTTCCAATCTTTCTCATCTCTCATGAGATTTTAAAGAATGTCATTTTTTTCCCACCTGAAAAGGAATCATGAATGTCCTTCCCCACCCCATGGACATTTCAAGATGTGAAGGAATGGGGTGGGGGCAATAGGAACCCTCAGCAGTCGCTCCTGCTGGCTTTGGTGGTCTGTATCATTCTCTGCCTGTAGCTATGCTGTAGCCTGCAGCCCCTGGCAGGGTTTTTGTGTTCTCTGATAATTTCCATAGGACTTCTGCTTTGAGGGCACCCAGAATTTAAAGTTTGGATGAATATTACCAGGGGGTTCAGATGGGGACTTCTTGCTTTGAGGGCACCAAGCATTTAAGGTTTGGAGGAATATTACCAGGGGGGTTCCAGGAAGGAGGATATTGGAATATGCTGGGAGACAGAAAAGGCTTTGCCAGTGTGATGGTTGGAGAGGATTATTTTTTCATTTACTACCAAACTTTCTGTTCTGTAAATTGCC